AAAATTATTGAATTCTTCTTTATATTTGAGTATATTACCTTTTAATTATTGATTTGTTGCAATACGTAAATTAGATTGTAAATTAATTAAATATATTTAGTATATTTGTTTTAATTTTTACTACTCTTTGCAATTTTGTATATGTTTCTACTACTATTTTCTTTTTTTATACTACTATTTTTTTCCTTTTTTTTTCTATCTACTACTATTTCTTTTCTCTATCTATTCCACCCTGTGTTACCATTCGCTGATTATTTAGTTTCACTATTCATCAGCTTTAGAAAGTGCTTGAGCTGAGAAAAGTGTTTAATTGTTCGGAAGTCAATTAATTCAATATGGCAATACCTATTTAAAGTTTCAACTACTATTTTTCTTAGTACAAGTAACGCTATCCAACTAAATGCTAACAGCTTAATATCTTTTTTATATCTAATTGAGAAAATAAACTTAGTTGCTAGAAGTTTCTACAACTTAGTTTGTGATTAATGAAATTTTAATTGCAACACTTAACATGAGCTTAATATAAGATTCACTTTAACTTTTAAATATATCTTGCAATAATTATAATTATGACTATTTATCTTAAAACTTCCACACCTTTTTTTTTTTTATCTAAAACTACTATTCAATGCCTTTCTTTTTTGTGTTTTTACTACAATTTTCATTTGCTTCATTTAAATTCTAGGAATCTTATCTTAGTTAAAGCAATTGCACTTATGCAATATCTTTTTAGTACCTTGTAAGTTTATTCAATGCTATCTCACTCTTGCTTCTACTACTTTTTACCAGTAATAAGTAAAGCTAAGTTATATCAGCTCATTCGCCTTTTTTCAGTTAAGATAAATCAAATCCGCCTTCGATATTCACCGCCCTTCTACTACTCTTTATTCTTCTCATAAATTGATCAATCAGAGCAATCGATCTCAGCTATTTTCATTTCCACTTTGCAGCCAGATAATTGATCTCTTGTCATTTATCAGTTAGAATTAATTAAAATGTGTTTTGCATTTGGAAAACTGCGAATGCTAATTGAGAGCCTTGGCGATCATTTAGATGTTTTCGCTAGTCGCGTGACAGGTTAATCCAAGATCGGCACGTGATCCACGTTAGGGAATGCTCCCTGCTCGACAGCGAAAAATATTTGCAATCAATTAACAAGTCGTCGCTGCTCGGTGACAACGTGCAAATAGATTGATTTGTCGAAATATATGTAAATACGATGATTGGGAGCGATCGAATGTTGAACCGGTTAGCGAGAAAATCAAATTAAGTGCTAATTACATCGAATTTGCTCGCTAACTAAACTGAATCCAGTTTTATTTCTTTCCCGGGAAGAGGGCCCAGACAAACTTTGGAAATATTTCCATTTAGCCGACATCTTGCAAAGAAGTTTGTTGTCAGCTACAAATATGCCAATTTGGTGGCCTGTTGACATCGCCAGGTCGGAAGGCGGCGATAGGAGCATTTTAAGACCAAGTCAGCCCAGGATAGCTATAGCTACACTTTTGAATACCCCTTTGGAAAGAGTTTAAGTGGAGAGTGTTGGTTTTAATGCAAATGATTTGTGATATTTAGAGGAAGTGGATGAAGCAATGAAGTTTATACGTTCTCGACTGAAATAAGGAACTAAATCGATTCCAATATATTAAAATTCCCATCTTTTTGCTTTTAAAACTATACGGGAAAGTCGGAAACTATAGAAGTCTTAAACCTTCCTTGTCAAATGTATATTTTGTATACCTTATATAAAGATAGCTGGCACTTCATTACTATTTCTCAGAACATTTCCCTACTATCGATAAATATCGATATTTTTAGTTGATTTTGTAAGCGTATCTATTAGACTATAAGAGATAAAATCAGCAAATTTGGTTTGTAAGTTCTCGAATTGATATTTACTAATGAATATGAATTTAAGTATTGATATATACTAACACATATCATAATATAATTACAAAAACTAAACCGTATTTCAAATGTTAGAGTCTTGAGTTAAGATACATATAATTAGATGGATTTCATATTCAAAAATTAATTAAGATCCTTCATCTAGAACCAGAGTTCAATCAGTCTGTTTTGCATAGTGTGAAGCTTTTTAGGATCAGGAGCACAGATAGTTGTCATCTCTTATTTCATATGAGTTAAACAACAATCTTATTATAATATCAACAATTGCGCTATCTGTGCTGGGTATCGCCCAGTCGGCTACAGTCGACCAGAACTTTCTTACCTGTTCTGGCATACCTCACCTTTGCTGCTGCTGCTGCTGCTCGTGCTGCCATCGCAGTTGAGCGCAATCAGCGACTGTCAATCGCTGTTGCAATCTTCAGAGTTGGCTGTCATCGCAGCAACGTCTTGAGGTATTTCGCTGCAGCGCCGTTGTTGAATTTTACAATTCAAACGTGAGGCAGGGCGGCGCGGGCGTGCAGATGTCGTCTTGCTGTCGTCTGCTCCTCCTCCTCGCTCTTAACTTATGCATGAGCTAAACAGATGAATGCAAAATGCAACATTCTGGCACTTATAACCAATTTGCTGTGTTGCAGGTTAGACAGGCAACAGGAAAGTAGAAGAACAATGGGAGAAACAAGAAAGAGTGTTTTGTTAAAGAGTAATTGACTAGGAGATACCCTGTAAGCCGTGTGGAACTTTATTTGAAAGTATTTTTGGTGTGATTCCATGTATATGATTCAATCTGATATTGAAATCAGATAAGGGATATGCATTGGGGTTGAAGAGCAGATGTACTCTGGTTGGATATGGAGGGGATGGGCGAAAAGTATCCATAAGGGAATCTCATATAACAGATAAAGTATTATACATATGCTGAAAAACAAAACTTTTATATAGATTTCATGGAAAATGGAAAATTATCTAAGGGGAAAGTAGGGAATAGAAAGAGTACGGAGGTATAGAATAGAATACAATAGTATATTCATGTATATTATAGTATAAAGTATAGCCTAGAAGATTCCAGGGGATTCATATTTTTTACGAGTGTTGAGTTCATGTCATTCACATTCCACATCTAAATAACCCAATTGACTAAGAATAGTGGAGCAAGTCCCTTTCCATATGCAGGTCCTGGGAAATGCTTTCACTTTGCTTCCATTAACTAGTCCCCATTTTGACTTTAATCTACTTTAGAACTTGATTATGATTGCTCTAACCTCATCCAGGTCCTCCGCTAACTCTGTACACCTAACTAGCATACCCTACCTCACTTCCTTTCCCTGGGTATGCCTGGTTTATCACTTACCACTTAGCACTTACAGCTCGCCCAATGGGATCAACACATTTGAGTATTTAACATGTTTACGCCCGCTTTCGCTACTTGCAGTCAGGCGCGGCAGGCAGCAGCCAAGCAGGATGACACAATGCGACAATGCGAAGAGTGCGGCGGACTGTGCCGCCCAGCCATCACATACTAAATTAGACATACACAATTTCTCCGAGGAGGACCACCAGGACAATAATGGCTCGTCTGAAATCGTTGGCGGCCGCGATGGGGCCGAGACGCAGCCACAAAATGCAGCAACAATAATTTTAACGCCGACATCATTAAATTTAACAAACCCGCCGCCGAATGCAGCACACAACAATGGCCGGCCGAATGCAGCAGACACTGACACCAACGGCCGGGGTTATTCAGCGCACGGCGAGCACTACAAAGGACCCAAGTGGTAAGTGGAAAATGCTCCATTGGGGCGGCAGCTGTAGCTGGGGCAAGAGCGGGGGCAGGGGCTGATGGGGCCTAAGCACATTTTTGGACTCAGTTCCCTGGGCCTTTCTCTCGCCCTCTCTCTCTCTCTCTCTCTCGCTCGCTCTCATTGTGCATGTATGCGCTTTTGCTTAACTCTTTTGAATGCACTTCCGGCACAGACAAGCAGACAAACACCCATACATAAATACCGTTAGACATACATGCATGCACACTGGCAATGCACGCGTTTTTCGCATATCCTTTATATACCCTAGAGCACTTTGAATGCGCTAAAGAGGTATATTTGAATTGTGCAAATGCTGCAGAAGAGGAGAGCGAGTCCAGCTGGCATAATATATATAGACTTGATAAGATGAGTTGAGTCTTGCTTATTGAGCTGACTGTCTTTCCTACAGTAGACTGTCCTTTATTAGAGTGTCCTTTAATGGCCCGTTCTTAATTCGACCTTCAGCTCTTCATTATTCATCTGTCCTTCATTGATCCGTCCCATATTTATTCGACCTTATTTATTCCGTCATTTATCCATGGACTTATCCTCATTTCTGTTCTGTCTATTATCAACAGTACGACAATCTCGGGAGCTATACAAGCCACATACTTGAAACTTGAAATATATATCCTAGAATATCATATATCTTCAAATCATCATGCTTTGTTCCTTATGCATATCTTGAATGCTAACAAATTTGGAAGAATGTATTCCAGCAGAGGAATATTTCCATTTTGGGTTACTTACCCCTACATCCGAGCAAGAAATTAATAAAATAACTCATTCTTAAGCAACATACAAATTTGGCTGTCATAGTCATGCACTGAGAATTTCGTACAAACGGGAGATCTAGAACCAGAGTTCAATTAAACCATTTATCAGAGAAGAGAACGGAGGGAGACAGAGAGCCGCATCAGTGTGTGTTGCTTATGCTTGTTTGTGTGTGTGTGTCGGGTATCTGCTAGTCGTGTACACCCAACGCATTCACGCCTACTTGTTGTTGAGCTTGTTGCTTATTGTTGTTATACATTACATTTTGCTTTGTGTTTATTTCATGTGCTGCAAATGTTGCACTGTCAGTGTCTGCTATATTGTCAAAAAGTGTTTCCGTTGCCTCGTCTGGGTTAGGACTCGGCTGCTGGTTCTACTTCTTCTTCTATATTTTTTGGGGAGGGCTTGGTGTTAAGCTTTTATGCGCAGCGCTGATGTGCCTAGTTTTTGGGCTTAGAAGCAGCATTGAATCGAGTGGGGCAACTATTAAGGTCGTCGGAGAGACGGTGTGAGGTGCGGCTACTTTGACAAATTGATGAGCAGGGCCAGAAAGCTGTATGCATTATTGATGGTCTGCAGACAAAGGGGTAATTAATTAAGATGAATAGATGATGGCATCGGGTTATGCTGACCTTCATGAATATGGGCAGGCCTATTTCAAAGAACATGCCCGCACGCAGCTTGACAGGGCGTTTCAGGAACTCCATGTAGCAGTTGAGGATTTTTCGTGTAGTCACCGAATACTCCAGCCAATTGGTGTTGAATACGCTGTTTGTCAGCTGATTAGCCGAGACGGTCAATTCGTTGCCGTAGTAGCAGGGCAGAAAGATTTGCACAATCATCACGCCCACAAACTGTAGAGTCGTCGCCAAGCCGCCCGTGTTCGACTTGCCCATCTGCACCACACGGTAGAGGCTGAAGCAAATGATTAAAGCGCTCAAAACAACCTGCGAGACGACGTAGGGCGAGACCAGGATCTCACATTGCTTGGTTAGACTGCGAACGCGTTTGTGCAGCTGAAAGAGGTGTCGCAGCTCTGGAATAGCCTTCACCTCGGGCGCTTCCCTCAGCGCCAGCAGACGTCGATTCATGAGCCGGTAGAGCAGCGCTATGTGGAACATGAAGTAGCAGCCCATCGTATCCAGCAGGCAATTCGGGAGAAAGCACATAGTCATTGCTAGTACATTGTAGGTCCAGGCATAGAAGTAGAACTTTGGAGTACGCCAATCGAAGGGCACATAATAGCTGAAAGGCAATTCATAAGTCTCCTGATAGAACACACTGAAGTAACCCGTGAGGGCAACCATCACACAGCCTGTAATGTAGGTGTAGAAGATGCGCTGAAATATTTTTTGTTCCCGTTTCCAGAAATGGTTTTCTTCCTTGTTCTGTAATTTGTAGACTTCATCTCGCTCTAGCTCATCAATGTATTGAAAGGCCTCTTGGCGTCTGTACCAAATGTTGATAACTTTGATGATCATTACAAATTCCGTTAGCGCCATATATAGAACGTTGCCAGCCTCTTCCACGCCCTGAGATCTAATAACTTCCACCCACATAAGGGCCGTGTAAGTAAAGGTGAATGGCAGATACAGGAGATATGGATATATTCTTTTTATCATGCTCCATTTATAGTCTTCATTTCGCCATTTCCAAATTCCCAGCCAACGTTTTATCACAAGTACTTTTCTTATTGCTGATATGCGATCCGTAGTTTCAGACATTTCCCGTAAAGCTCTTGACACTCAATATTAAGCTAGCAACTGGAAATTAGCTGCTTTTATAGACTTCGAGGCGCAGGTAAAATATCATGAAAATTTTATAGATGTCGGAGACAGTAATATATCTCTCTCTCACTCGTCCGTCTCCCTCTCCCTCAATGCCACCCCTCTTTCAGTTACAGTCATTTCATCGAGCTTACTTTAGTTCCCAGCTGAACTGTTATACTAGTTCTAGATTGAATCTAAATCACATTAATTGCAATGATTAATGTGAATTTTCGTTCAAAATGAACTAGTTCCGTTCATCATGAGCTGCCAGCCCTGCTCGCATTTCTAATTGCTCGTCATATTTACGTATTTAAAACCAGGCTCCAATTACAATAATTAGCTCGTTGACATATTAAATAACCCCAATTGCTATTAATCGTTTATTGACTGAGTCACGCGATTTCTCACCGATAATATTTTCAAATACCATTCAGTGCCGAGATAACTCTGGCCTTGACAATATATGGCTCGGCATGAGCTCAAATTAGTCTCAAATGAACTGTTTTTAGTCAGAAATTTAATACATATTGAGAAAGTTGTCTTTTAACTTCGATATATAGGAAAGATTATCATCTCAATGTTCGATTCTTAATAGAGATTCACTAAAAACCAAATTAAATATGGCAAATATATTTTATGGTATATTCATAACTACTGAAAGTGTTCTAGTCGAAGTTGCAAAGGTCCTCGTATATAAATGTTTTATATATTTTCAATAATTACTATTTATCTTTATATTTACTTCTTCCGAAAAAAATAATCAACATTCCACTTTTTCTATATCAAATTATTTTATTAAATATATAAATATATATACTATTAAATATTTGTGTAAGGACATAACTTTGAGCAAATCGTAGTAGATATATATAGCCAATTTTGGGGTAGTTTTAATGATAAGTTTCGTATAGTCATAAGAAATAAATATATCAAAATTTTCCGTCAGCAGAACCAATTCATTTCACATAGAGATAAGCAGGAACATAAACAGACATATTCATTAGCTAAAGGTAGAATATGGCATTTCAACATTCTAATCAATAGCACATACTTAAGGGTGACCATATCGTATCTTCTAAAGATTTGTTAGATATTTACAATGGGTTTTTGAAACTTGAATACAGAAGTCGACAAAACTTTTCGTTTAATTGCATTTTATTAGCTCAATTGGCTTATTCAATTCAAGAATTTACAGATTAATTAAGTTTTCCTCGATGCATTGAGGAGTAGAGCGAAAAAGCTGTAAGCATTGTTCATGGTCTGCAAATTAAAATAGAAAAGGTTCACATTAGGAGTACAAAATTGTGAATACTGCATATCTGATATCAACCTTTACGAAAATGGGCAATCCAACCTCGAAGAAGTAGCCAGCCCGAATCTTGGTGGGTTTCTTGAGGTGCTCCATGTAGGCGATGAGCAGCTGCCGGCTGCGCTTGTCGCACTGCAGCCAGTTGGTGTTGTAGACGTCGTTGGTCAGCTGATGGGCATAGACGGTGACCTCGTTGCCGAAGTAGCAGGGCAGGAATATCTCGAGCACCATGACACTGAGGAACTGCAGCATGGATACGAACTGGCCGGGATTGGCGCGGATGCCCACGTGCTGCAGGCGATAGCCGCTGAAGCAGATGATGAAGGCGCTCAGCACGATCTGGGAGAGGACGTAGGGCGAGACCAAAGTCTCGATCTGGACAGTTAAGCTGAAGCAAAACAGAGATTAAGTATACGACGCATCGTACTCGGCTCGATTTACTTGCGTATGCGATTGTGTAGCTTGAAAACGATGACCAATTTCTCTTTGAATTCGACTTCACTTGCGGTATACTGCAGTCCCCTCACTCGGTAGCCCAGCAGGCGGTAGAGCAGCGATAGGTGAAAGAGAAAATAGCATCCGAGTGCATCGAGGCAAACATTCGAGACACTCGTCACAGTCATTCCGATCAGGCTGTAGCCGTAGGCATAGTAGTACCTGCGCTCATTGCGGTACTCGAAGGGCACAAAGTAATCAAAGGGTAGCTCGTAGTCGTGCAGAAACAGCACGCCAATGCAGCTGCTGTAGACCACGCCCAGGCTCGCGAGCAGAAACAAATAGAAATACCATTTGAAGAGCCTTTGCTGCTGCTGCCAATAGCTGTGCTCCTGCTCCGACTGCAGCGCGTAGTCGCTTGAGTGCTTCATGTGGCCCATTATCCGGCGGGCAGCTGTGCTCCGATACCAGATGTTCAAAATTTTCACAACCAGCGCGATTTCCGTCAGCGACATGTAGAGCACTTGGCCGGCCTGTTCCAGGTTGTTGGACACAAACGCCTCCAGCCACATGAGTCCAATGAAAGTGAATGTGATTGGCACGTGTAGTGCATAACGGTAGTTGACTTTTAGGAACGCCAGCACCGGGGGCTCCTCTCTGGACGTCGACAGCGGCCAGAGTCCACCAAGGCGCATTATCCTCAACACCCAGTTGATGGCGTCTGTGCGCTCTGTTTGCGTAGTCATTTCTGGTCGAGACGGTGCTGAGCCAAAGGCTTTTTATACCCACAAAAGGGAAACAATTAAAAGCAATTTGTCCATTTAAATTCGGCAGCTGACACGAAAGGTGGTTTTAGGTGGGCTAGGGGGCATACAGAGAAATATAAGAATACATGGGGAGTTTAAGACACTGAAATACTCTACAGTCTGTTTATAGACAGACTGATATATCTTACGGTTCACTTTTAAGATATACAAAATGGTAAAAAGCTTGAAATTTTTAAAGCAAGACTCAAGCTAATAGCTCAAGATTAGAAGAAAATAGAATCAGCCAACACCAAATCAGAAGTCTGTGAGGTAGTTAGAATAATAAGTGAATAAAAATGTATATATTTTCTCTAGCTTCCTTGGTCTTCAAGTTGATCAAGATTAGAAGAAAATAGAATCAGCCAACACCAAATCAGAAGTCTGTGAGGTAGTTAGAATAATAAGTGAATAAAAATGTATATATTTTCTCTAGCTTCCTTGGTCTTCAAGTTGATCCTTACAAGCCATATCAAATTATTATGAAATTTGACTGACCCATTAAAGAAAAATATTTATCCAACACTGCTTTTGATATACCACAACACCTATTAAAGGTTACAAATCTATAGTTCATGTAGTTCTCGAGATTTACGTATGATCAACAGAAGAAGATAATATGGAATTATTTTGTCATATTAATGCATATATTATATGATGGAGCACATCTATTGTGACATACAACTACACAAAACCAATATACGCTTCGTATAAATCTCAAGGGTATCGTTATGAATTGTAGTTTATTTAAAATATTACCTATTTCTATTCTCTTATATAGGTGGCGGCATTTAGTCTTACACTGGAATCTCGTCTCGGAACATGTCGCGCTCTTTGCCATTTTCATAGGGCTCTGGACATTGGCTCTGGCAATACTGCCCAGCTATGCGGCACCAAGTACGACCATCATGCGCATCATATTACTGTTTGTGGGCGCACAAATAACTGGCATACTGGTGACCTTCATTCATCTGCCCGACATGCTGGGCATGCTCTTCTTCGGCGTACTGTACACCAATGTGGGCTTTGCCAACTTCGAGGGCTACGAACGCTTTGAATTGTTTTTGAGGTAAGTGTGGGTGGGAGTAAAATAGTAAGGTATAACAGTTTTGGTATAACAGTTAAGGTATAACAGTATAACAGTTTGGATATTGAGTTTTTTAGGTAAAATTGCAGCTTGGATAGCAATAATCGATAGATAGATAGTTTAGAAGCCAACAATCTCTGCTGTAGGCCTAATATTTAAATTCTTGTCTCGTACATGTATAACAGTTTTGTTAACCTTTTTAATAGAGGTCCATAAAATTGAAAAAAATCTAAGCTGTATTAAGTTTAAGCTTAGGTATAAAGCTCTATAAATGCGGTCGTTAATATGTAAAGGACATTAACGGATTTTGCTTTTAAATACTGTTATACGCGTGTATAATAGTTGCAGCAAATGCATCAGCTACAATGGCAAATCCTTTTATCAGCTTTGTAGTAAAGCGTTCTTTGTGCTCTTTTATTGCAGAGAATTAGCTTTGATAAATATTATGCTGTTGGCTGGCCTGGGGCTGGATGCTGGCGCCTTTCGTCGATTGTGGCTAATGATACTGCGACTGACGTTATTGCCAACAATAGCTGAGGTGGCCATAATAGCTGTGCTGGCCTACTTCACGCTCGCCATGCCCTGGCTGTGGGGCCTCGCCCTGGGGTAAGTACAACTGAAGATGACAGACCTATATGTGTGTGTATATATTTATATGTATTTATGTGGGCTGTTTGTCTTGTAGGCTGGTCATCACGGCTGTCTCGCCGAATGTGGTTGTCACAGTCATGCTGAAGCTGAAGGAGGATCGATTGGGCCTGAACAGCGGCATTCACACACTCATCTATGCAATGACCACGTGCAACGATGTCGTGGCCATTTTCCTGTTCGGCGCCGTCATGAGCATGATATTCTCAACAAGTACGTGACAGCCCCATATGAACTGCCTGTCTGCCCCCAGCAAGGGGTACTTACACACATGCTTGCTTGTTGTTTGCCTGCTTACAGACCCGCTGCTGCAGAAACTATTGCAGGGACCCATTGGCATTGGAATTGGACTTGTTTTCGGCTATCTATATGGCATGCTGCTACACTATTTGCCGTCGCGTAATGCGGTAAGCATGGCAGCCACTGAATGTCTATATGCGCGAGGGGTGCCCATAACGTTTGTGGCTTAGTATGAAAAGCCAAAGCAAGTGCTACTACTACTATGGAAAATCGAACATTGCCAGAGAGTTCCCTTAGCTAACTTTGTAATAATGATTTCATATTTTTATAACCTGAACCCATTGAAAATGGGAAATCAGGGTATAATGTTTTTGTGTAAAAGTATG